TCCTGCTGGGTTTGTGGCTCCTCACTTCCACTCAGGAGACAATAAAACCTTGTGGATTTTAGTCCATGTAAGTGATACCAGAATCTGGCTGATGTTCCTGGACCCAGCAGAAGAGATGCTCACCCTACAAACACACCCTGTAGATGTGCAGAGAAACAGGAAGGCTCACGTCATCGCAAGAAGGTTTGGCTGGTTGAGGCTGTACCTTTGAGCACCCGCAACCATGGAGCAGCCAGTGCCTAAAAAAACTGGGACCATCGCATGAGAAATAAATAAGAGAAGCAAACCGTCCTGAGGGTGGCTGGAAAAGCCCATATAACCACCTAACCCGAGTGGGGCTTTGAAGACGAAGCATTACCGGGGCTTGCACCATTATCCTAAAGCAGCTGAAGGGTGGGATCAGAGGGGCCATGCCGAGCCAGGCAGGGCAGCGCTGCTAGCCATGGCTGGGGTCTCCCTGCAGCCTCGGAGCCATCAGCTGCATCTCCTAACGCACTCTCAGCTAGAGAGAAAGGAAAAACGCAAACCTTCAAGGGCTGGCACGTCTCCTGAGCCATGATCAGAGAGGAGTGCAGGAGCAGGGCGGGAGGGGAAGAGCTCGTCCCCACCTACAGGCATCCATCACCAGCAAGGATAGACACACGTATCCCCAGGGAGGACTTCAGGAACTCCTTTTCACACCTTCCATGCCAGAGCAGACATTTCATAGCATCCCAGGGCTGCCTGGGCATGGTCAGACACCTTCCACCAAGCCTGGAACAGCCCAGCAAGGTAAAAAACCCTTCCCAATGTCCAACCCAAGCACAGACACCGAGGCTGGACATCCCATCTGCCCTGGCTCAAGTCTCACCCCCCAGCAGCGCTGATGCAACCCCCCCCAGCTGTGCTCTTGCAGCACAAGGTTATCACTGCAGCATGCATGAAGCCAGTGCTGCGAGCAAGGTGCTGCCCCGGCCTCGCCACCTCTGCCCTTGCTGGGGTGCGGTGGGGCCAGTAAGTGGGAGCTGAGGGTGACCCCAGCACAGGAGCTCTCCATCGTGGCCCCTCAGGGTCAGCAAACAGCAGGCAGAGCAGGCAACAGGGTCTGCTGGCAGCCCCAGAATCAAGTGACCAGGAGGCAGGAGCCAAAGGGGACAGGCACAAAGTCAAGGCTGCGACACAGGTCCAACACCCACCCTGAAGACCCAGGACTTGCCCTGGGTACTAGCACCCACCCGAGGGACCCACCTGGGGCAGGAGCTGCTTGCAGGGGTGAGGTCCAACAGGGCATAGCCAGGAGCAAGGTTGGAGACCAGCAGCATCCTTCAGAGTAGGGCTAGCATCCCCAGCTGAGCTTAAATAACCTCCTGGGCCCATGGGTGGGGTAGGGGTCCCAGGTGAGGCTGCTGAGGGCCATCAAGAGCTAGTAGTGCCCATGAGAAGATGCTAATTTGGCCCTGCAGCTGCCCAGATGTGGCTTTACTGGTTGCACGGCAATGCCCAGCTGGACTGTACTGGGGGTGCCACAGCGGTCGCTGCCGAGCCTGGTGCCCGCTGTGCGTCAGCCCGTGGTGCTGAGCACTGAGGTGGGGTCCGGTATGGCCATGTGTGTGGAAGAAATCACAAATTGCTCTTGGCCTAACTCTGGCCATGTTTAGGCTTCTCCCCCTTGCACCAGGCAGTCACCTCCGCTCCTGGGAGCCCTTTTCTGAAGGTCTGAGGACTTGCCGTGAAAATCAGCCCCTCGAAGGCTTGGAAATTACCCAAAATATCTGCACGAGCAGGAGCAGCGCTGGGCAGAACTGAGCATGCTTTCACTGGGTCAGGGCAGGCCTTGAGGTCGCGGGTTTTAGGTCAGAAAAGTTGGATTTTCAACCCAAAAGTTGGAGGTTTGGTGCTGCTGGTGCACGAGGGGTGCTGTTACAGCAGGTTATGGCACTTGTGGTGGGATGGGATGGGATGGCAGGGGTTTCTAATCGCTGTGTTCCTGTTAGCAGCCATTAACTGGGGAGGTTAAAAAGCAGTTTCTCCCGTGGCTCAGCCAAAGTTGCCTGTCCTGGCTACCCTGGCCTAAAAATGTGCACCTGACTCCTCCTTGGTTTCTTCTGCTGCAAGCTCTGGGTCTTGTTAGGGCTTTTTCGGGGGGAGATTAAAGGGATCTTTCTTCTCCAGGGATGCTCGCCCATGGCATGGTCTCAAATGCTGTTAGCAGACCTCGTACCCGCCCTCCGCCCCTCTTCAGGTCTGTCCCTGCTGGGAAGAGCTTCAGACCTCGAATCATTTTTTTCTTCACTCCCCTCTGGGGTCCCCACAGGGGATGGAGGTGCGGGTGGCCCTGATTCCTCCCCAGCCCCCTGCGCGGGGACAAAAAGCCCCGGGTGCCGGTGGCCGCGTCCCAGGCGGGTGCTGAAACGGGCTCTTTGTTCCCTGTTTCTAATTGCTGGGCCCAAGCAGCTCATTAACCGCTCTGCCCCGCGCCCTCCCATCCCTGCAGCCACCGCTCGGGGGGGGGGGTAACCCCCTGCGGGGACGTGCCCGGGCTCAGCCTCTGAGTGTGGATTTTGGGGTGACACATAAAACCCCCTCAAAGCTCTCGTTACGCAGTCTGGGGCAGGGCCAGAGGGTGCCCAGAAAGGGGAGTCGTACGTGGCCAGAGCAGGCGTCCATCGGCAGATATCCAGAGCCTCCCCTGCAAACTCCGTCACGGTTTTCTCGGCTGAAAAATAAGCAGCTGGCAGAAGCCTCTTGGATGTTTTGGGAGCCAGGGACGCTACCAGTCCCCCCCCATCCATGTGCAGTGACTTTGGGAGGTGCCGCAGGACACGCGGTTTGCTCCGAGCCTGAGACATCGCGCGACCCTAAGGAGGGTTCGGGGCTGGGGTCCTTCCCACGGCGCCCCGATCGCCCCGGGGCAGAGCAGAGCTCGCCCATATGTACAGATCTGGGAGCACAATCAGCCCTTTGGGAAGCTCAATATTAATGATTTAGAAACAATTTTTGCACTCTCTCATGGAGGGAGCTTACATTTGCATTTGAAAACTCCAGAGGAGCTGGTGGTGCTGGCGGGGGGACGGGAGCACTGGCCGGGTGCTATCAATGGGAAACTGTTCTGTCTAAAGCTGCCAGGGCCAAAAAAATGTGAAGTCTGCAGATTTCTGGCTCCGTTCATGGTCAGAATTGCTGGCTCTGTTGTCGGTGCCAGGCTGCTCCGCTCCCAGCTATTAACGGCTCTGCTCAGAAGCTGGTTTTCCTTTGCTGCCAAACCAGAGCAGGGTTTTGTGAAAGATGGGGTGGGATGGCGGTGCCCAGGATGTGAAATGGGGGGATTCAGTTTGGTGCATTTGGGAGCTGGCAAGGCTGTTTGTGCTCTCCGGTCCTTATGAGCCCACGATCCAATTTGCGGTATTTTCAGTGCTAAAGCCATTGGTTTGTCTTTGCACTGGGAGTGGAGCTGAGGCCCGATGCACTCGTGTCCCATCAGACCCCCGTGTGCAAGCCTGCGGCGCCACTGCCCCGTGGGAAAGCCTGCGGAGCCACTGCCCGCTTTGTGCCTGTCCGTGTGCCAGTCCCAGGAGACACCGCCGTGGTTAATAAATGCTCCTTTTTTTCTTTTTTTTTTCCCTCCTCTCTCAGCCTGTTTTACACCACTCGCCCTTTATGCCCACACGGTAACCTGCCTGCAGCCACCCCCCTTCTACGCCACTGTGCCTGTCCTTCGTCCTTCCTCACCAGCTCCCACGGGTGCTCTCGCTGGAGATGGGGCCGCTGGGTGCGGGCAGCTCCCTATGTCTCCTTGAGCCCTGCAGAAAATGAACCGTCCCTGGTTCAGGCGGGGACAGCAGCAGAGCGGGGGGCACGCCGGGGTGCTGTGGGGGGCACGCAGGGATGCTGCGGAGAGCAAGGGCTAGCTGGCCGCGGCAGCTTGCCTTGGTGTAGCACGTGCACAAAAAAAAAACCCGGAGAGCTTTGCACTGAGCTGGAAATAATGGCATTACAAGTGCTTGCTCGCTTCTGGCTGCTGTTTGGGGTGGGTGAGGCTTTTCGGGGCTGGCTGAAGGGCTGCAGCACGTCGGGGTTTGCTCCTGGTTTGAGCGCAGCTCCGGGAAGGGAAGTGGGAAAGGCTCCCTGGGCACGGGCGCTTGTCAGTGGAGCACGAGCGTGGGGACGAGGCCTGGCGTGGTCCTCGCCTCTGTCCTGGTGCCACGCCCGTGCGCCTCCCAGCATCCGGAGGTTTGCACCCACGGAGCGTCCCCTGCGCGGAAAAGCCCCGCTGCTGCCGCGTGGGCTGCATCCTCCATATCCCAGTGTGGAAGGGATGAGTCGCGGGTGCAGAGAGCAGAGGGAATGGGGAGGAAAAAACAGGCAAATGGCAAAAGCTGTGTATTTTCTTTCTTTTCTTTCTTTCTCCTTTGCCCAGGAGAGGCGTGAGGGCTCGCCGGCAGCATGCCGCTGGTGAAGAGGAATATCGAGCCCCGGCACCTGTGCCGGGGGGCTCTTCCCGAGGGGGTGACGAGTGAGCTGGAGTGTGTCACCAACAGCACGCTGGCCGCCATCATCAAGCAGCTGGGCAGCCTCAGTAAGTCAGGCTCAGCGACCCCGGCGTGGGACGGGGACGGGGCGGTGGGATGCTGGTGGGTGCTGGTGGGATGCTGGTGGGTGCTGGTGGGATGCTGGTGGGGCACCGTGGTCGATTGCTCCGGTTCCAGTCGCAGAGAAACGGGGGCTATGCGAGAGCTGTGCGGGCTGCAGCCACCCCTAATTCAGTGGGAATTATCCAGCTAATAAAAAAAGGAGGGTGCTCAGGGCCAAGCCGAAAGTGGGGACTTGGTGATATTTTTGCCCAAAGTGGGGACGTGGTGACATTTTTGACCCATTTTCCTTCCATAGCCAGTCTGTGCGGTGGGGGTGGAAAGCCTTCGCGAGCCCCTTGCTTCTCAACTTGGCCAGAAATAGGAAGGTCAGGTGAAGATTAAAAAACCCCAGCCTACTCTTTTTAATCTTAGAGCTTTATGTGAAAGAGAGGTCTATATAAAAGGTCTAAATCCTCAGCTGTCTTCCTGCCCTGGGACTGATTTCAGCAGAAAAGGGGAGGACAAGAGCAATGCACATGCCAGCGGGAAGGTTTAATGGGGCAACCTATTTCATTGCTGAATATCGACTTAAAATAGACAAGTGCAGGCTCTTCAGGGCTTCCTCTCTTTTCCCCCACCTCCAGAACTAGATTCTTCTCCAAAATACTCGCAGAAAAATAAACCTGCTAGTGAGGGAGCGGCGGGAAGCACGGCAGCTCAACATGGGCAGCACCCATGGGTGCTCAGGCCATGGCTACCTCATCCAGGGGAAAAGGAAATCAAATACAAATGTCTGAGTTGGGCGACAGGCTGAGCAGATATCAAAAGCACCTTGGCCTTATGAGGAGCAGCTGAGGGAACTGGATGGGGTTGTTTGGCCTGGAGAAGAGGAGGCTGAGGGGAGACCTTATCGGTCTCTACAACTCCCTGACAGGAGGGTGTAGCGAGGTGGGTGTTGGTCTCTTCTCCCAAAGTAACAAGGGATAGGACGAGAGGAAATGGGCTTAGGCTGCATTAGGGGAGGTTTAGATTGGATATTAGGAAAAATTTCTTCACCGAAAGGGTAGTCAAGCATTGGAACAGGCTGCCCAGAGAGGTGGGGGAGTCCCCATCCCTGGAGGGGTTCAAAAAATGGGCAGAGGTGGCACTTGGGGACATGGTTTAGTGGGCATGGGGGTGTTGGGTTGATGGTTGGAATGATGATCTTAGAGGTCCTTTCCAATCTTAATGATTCCTGGTTTTTGCTTTCATTAGAAATGATCCAGCCACCAAGCCAGGAGGCGTGGGGTTGCTACTCTCCCCTGAATTGGTTTAGTGGTGGACCTGGTAGTGTTGGGTTCATGGTTGGACTGGATGATCTTAAAGGTCTTTTCCAACCTAAACAATTCTATGATTCTATGACCTCAGGAGCCATTTGATATGTGGTTTTGGAGGAAACCCCAAGGAGCTGGGGTGCTGGGCTGGGTGCTGGGACAGGCTGGGTGCTGTAGCCTGCAGGTGTCAGCAATGCTCTGCCAGGCACCCTGCTCAGACCCGTGACAGTGACAGCCCTAATACAGAGCTATCATAGCGATGCACCGAGTGCTGCAGGAAAATAACCGCTAAAGTGAAAAAATTTGCGGCTTCTCCCCGCTGTAGCAATCTCCCCACTGTGCTGCCTTCGGTTTTCCACCTTCAGGGCTGCGTTTCTGCGGGTGATGCTGCATGGCCAGGGGGTGATGGTAGTGTTTTGGCTGCGTCTGTCCTGGTAGATCCAAAAGCTTTTTAGGATGAGCGCCTGCCATGGTTTGGTGCCTCCCACGGGTACCGCTGTTGCTGAAAAGGATGCTCCTGCATGGAGAAGGGCAGGTGGCTCGTGTTCCCAAAGTGCAGCGCTTTGCCAGGTCTGGGAGAGGGTGAAGCTCAGCTCCCAAAAAAACAAGGCTGGGGAGAGAGTCCCACAGAGCTGGCGGGGAGGCGTGAGGTCCAGGGGACGGGCTGGGAGAGGGCTGCCTGCCTGCTGCCGTGCTGCCGCCCGGCTGCCGTTGCCCGTGACAGGCGCCTGTTGCCCTCTGCCAGGCAGGCACGCGGAGGACATCTTCGGCGAGCTGTTCAATGAAGCCAACAGTTTCTACATGCGGATGAACTCGCTGCAGGAGAGGGTGGACCTGCTGGTCATCAAGGTGACGCAGCTGGACTCCACCGTGGAGGAAGGTGAGGGGCTGGAGCTATTTTGGGGTGACGGCCAGGCGCGAGCGGGTGGAACGTGTGTGCTCGGGGCCGGACCACCCTCCATGCCTGGTTTGGGGGGCTGAGGCCCTGCATCCCCTCTCCTTCTTGTGCCCCCAGTTTCACTGCAGGACATCAACATGCGGAAAGCCTTCAAGAGCTCCACGGTGCAGAACCAGCAGGTCGTGTCTCGCAACTCCATCCCCAACCCGGTGATGGAGATGTACCAGCGCTGCGACAAGCCCCCGCCGCTCAACATCCTCACACCCTACAGGTAGGGCAGCTGGCACATCGATCCTTGGGGGGGTGGTCCTGGGGGGTTCTGGGGGTCCCTTTGCAGGAGAGGCAATGGGGGGTGCACCCCGTTTGCTGTTTGGCAAGGGCTGAGAGGCCGTTTTCTCCGGTTGCTGTGCCACCATCCCCATCACATAGGGCGCTTGGGATGAGTGACCCCATGCAGCGGTACTGCGGGTGGTGACCGCTGTACTGGACATTTTCTTGGTGGGGTAACAGCTTATGACTGTGATCGTACCAACCCCTCCCTGCTCAGGGGAAGGGAGGTCTTCTCCTGTGGCTGATAACCCCCTCCCCAACCCCCCAGGGATGACAAAAAGGACGGCCTCAAGTTCTACACCGACCCCTCCTACTTCTTCAACTTATGGAAGGAGAAAATGTTGCAGGCGACAGAAGATAAGAGAAAGGAGAAGCGCAGGCAGAAGGTAATGGTGGGGGCACCGGGGGGGCGGGCGCCTGGGGGGTTTTTTTGAGCTGGGGCTGCCCAGGACTTGGGGGACGGCCGCCTTCCTGGTGCATCCCGTGTGCTCCCCGCTGCTGTGGTGGGTGCATCTCCATGCTCCTTGGGTACCGCTCGCAGTCCGGAGGAGCC